CTCCTCCTCCTCCTCCTCCTCCTCCTCTTCTTTTCATCTCTTTCAGATATACTTGTAATTGATGGTTTAAAGTCTTTATTGTGGATACTTTAAAATCTCTGAAAGATGAAAGGTCACCTTGGAGTTGACAACCCCCTGTTAACTTTCCTTTCCATCAGTTGGAGGTCTTCATGGTTCCTACACAAAAAGTCATTCAGATCGAAGCCTGGTTACTTCCCCATCGTGATAGACCTGGGTCTGGTTCATCCTCTGTCTTACCTGACAAGTGGTATTGAAATGGGGGAGGGGTGGCAGTATTCCTAGAAAATGATACCAGTCTCCTCTCTCCTGTCCTCTTCCGGTGCCCGGCATGGAATGGCCTGCTGTAGAGAGAGGTGTTGGACTCCAGCTTCCTGTCTTCTTAAAGACGGCACAAGCAGGGCAGCACTGGGGCTTGGCTCTCTTTAGCTAGAATAGAAAAGTGATTGTCCAAAGATGGATTTATCAGCCCATTTTAATAGAACATCAAATGATCGTCGGTTAGTTAGCACACGGTTTCTGTTAAGTGAAGTTCCTTCAGACTGAGAAGGAGTGTAATGGGAGTGCTCTTCATTTCTGTGACTCTCTCATGTTTTCTCTTTGGGTGGCGGTTCTGGAGGAACTAGTCTTGCCTTCATTCCTGGAAGAGCAGGAGCTCCCAGGTGCTCCGAGAGGTCCTAGAAAGCTTTGGTGTGGGTCTGTATGTGGTCTCTTACAGGTCAAAGAAGGAGTTCTGCATTTTTCCATGCTCCTGGAACCTATTAATTACCCTTTCAGAGCTCCCCTGGCACCAGCAGACCCAGGATGGCTGTGAGCTGGGCATGGCCTTGGCAGTGTTGACCTTTGAAGATGAGCACTCAGCTTTAGAAGACAGGGCTTTCTCTTTCTTACACTTCAAACTTGGTTGAAACATTAGACAACCTTAAGGAGAAGCATGGTACACTTAATGTTAGAAAAGGACACTTAGACGAGCTTTTCCTGTTTCTCTTTGGAACTGTGGCATTGGGAGCACGGTGGAGGCTGTAAGTGTCGTCAGCCGGTGTCCGGGGACCTGTTGTTGCTGTCCTGGAGAGAAAGCATGCCAGCGAAGGAGAGGCTCTCTTGAGGTGCTTGTTCCTCAGCACTGGGCAGCAGCACTGGGCAGCAGATGGCGCCCTGGTGTTAGCAGTTCTCCAGCAAGCCTCTGGCGTCTGCGCCCTTGGATCTCCAAGTGTTTGTCCAGTTTACAAGAGAACAGCTCCCTGTAGGCCTAGAAGATTCAGAATTCCTTAGATGTTGGCACAAGTTGGCATTGGAACTTCCGTGCAGGCCTAGATGCCAGTATCCCTAGCCCTTGACAGCAGCTGGCATGAGCTGCCCAAGCCTGGGTGGCTTTGACTCTCAGGGCTAAGCAACACTGTAGAAGTCTTCCTGCACAAGGTCCATGGGTGCTAGTCTGCCGCTGGGCATCCTCGCTTCTCCCCTTGTTCTTGTCCCGGCTCCTCTGAGCTCTTCAGCTGCCAACCCTGGCCCTTTGACAGCTCTGTGTGCCGACTGCTCAGCTGTCACCTCCCCTCACTGCCTCTCCCGGACTGTGCTCTGCTGTCGCTGCTTCCTTCATCTCACCACCTAGCCCGCTCCACCAGAGTCAGGAAGAAAGAAAGGTGCAAGAGAAGCCAGTGCTGCAGAGCCAGGAGAGGCCACAGGAGGGCATTGCCATCCAGCTCTCCAAGTGAGCCAATCGGCCTGCCCCATAGAGAGAGCCGGGGGACAGGGTTTTCATGGTGCTCACAGCATTGCCCTTGGGGCCAGTCAAAGGCCCCCCAGGGGAAGTGGTGTCCCTTTAGTCTAGGTGGAAATTGTTTTAGAGTCCTCTAAGCTTGCCAAGGCTTGCATATGACAGCAAAACTCTGGTACAGAGGGCTGGAAATAGCCCTCTCTGGGCAAGCACCTGAGGTTGCCATGTAGCTTTCCTGCAGTGTCCATGGAGGTTCAAGACTGACCAGGGCTTGCATAAAGATAACTCAGCTGTCTGTTCCAGGCAACCAGGACAACAAGGGAGAGTGCGCTTGCCTCATCCCCAAATTCAGGAGTGGATACTGTAGCACATGTATCAGTACTAATAGTGGTGTTTTGTTGTTTTCAGAGTCACCTCCTCTGTCTCAAAAAGGCAGTATTGGGCCGTGGCCACACACACCCTGATCATACTTTCTGCTGAACTTTTGACTGTGATCAAACTGAATTTGCCAGGGATAGGAACATGGAGTCTTCACTTTGGAAAAGCAGAGATTACACTTTTTAGATTTCTAGGTAGAAAATCTTTTGCCCTCATTAGATATTTGGTTAGCCTAATACAGTTACTTTTTAATTTGTGAACTTTGAGTTAATGCCCTATTATTCTTTTTATTACATTTTAATCTTTCTGTTTGTGTGCATACTTACATGCATGTGTTTGTATGGGGATGTATATGCCAAGGCATTCTTGTACAGGTCAGAGGGCTTGTAAGAATCGGTTCTCTCTGTCCACCTTGCGGGTCCCAGAGGTCCAATTCAAGTGGTCAGGCTTGGCTGCAAGGACCTCTACCAGCTGTGCCATCTTGCCGGGTCCCACATGTTTCTTCATGTAGTAGGGTCTTGTCACCTTATCTACATGTCAGTGAGGGCCAGCCTGGGACCCAGTGGACAGGGATACTCTTCTTCTCGGCTCACTCCCTTACCTGGGGAAGAGCCCGTTAGAGAGACACCTGTCTTACTCTCTAGCATAGGCTGACCTCAGCCTCACAGCAGTTTTCCTGCTTCAGCCTTTCAGGTCCTGGAATGTGTATATGCGCCACTGTGCCTGGTGTGCCTTAAATTTTGACACAAACTTACACATGCATAGAATATATTCAGTGAGGTTTGGCACACCTAGGTGCACCTTGCACACAGATGCTGTTTGCGCAGAGCTGCAGTTTTTGCCAGTGAGAATACCAGTTGATGTTGGCTTGTTGGGGTCACAGGTAGGAAGTGTATTTGAGGTTTGGACTTGGTCCTTGAAGCTGGTTGGTTACTGTAGTACTTACTGAGCCTGTGCACAAGGAATCTAATGTTTCTTCCCTGTCCTTTGTAAGCAGATTTATTCTACTCCGTTGATAGCCATCTCTTAATTCACTATTTTTGTTTGGGTACTGTTCTGTGCTCTGAATAGAATGTAAATGTCACTATGGTTTCTTTTGTCTTGTGATCCTGTGACTTTATTCGAGGATAAATGACATTTCCTGGTGATTTCTAGCAAGCCATTGGTCTTTAAGTTTTGTGCTCGGGTCAAGTCAGGTGATGCTCTGTGGACCGGGTGTGAAGGAGGTGAGTGTGAGCTTCCACAAGGCCCAGGGAGAAACGCTGGGTATGCTAAACAACAGAGAGAGCAAATGGACACGGTGGACAGAGCTCCTTCTCTTTCCCTCCAAGTGTTCTCCACGCGTGTCACCCGGTCCAGGATTCGGGTGTCTGCTGCAGAGCTGGGAAGGGGCTATGGAACTGCTTTCCTCACGCGGGACTGTAAAATTCCTTTCAGAGCTGTTCAGCCACATCAGCAGCAGATGTTTGGTGAAGAGCTGCCAGAAGCTCAAGATGGAGAGCAGCCTGGCCCTGCTAGAAGAAAGCGACAACCCAGTATGTCAGAGACAATGCCGCTGTACACTCTCTGTAAGGAGGACTTAGAGAGTATGGACAAAGAGGTGAGAATGTGGTGCAGGTCCCAGGTCCGGGAGGCTGGTGTGACCAGCACATCCCAGATTCAGTGGGTCTCATGCAGAATAGATACAGGTGTTGTGAGCCACACCTGTTTTCCTCTACAAAGGGATCTCTAACCATATGAAAGGATGAACTCGTGTGTTTGGCAACAAGAACACTTGAGCCCCCCTCCCAGAGCTTCATGATCGTGTCTGCAGACATCCTACATTGTCATAACGAGGGTGCTTCTGCATTTTGTGGTGCAGGAGACACAGTGCTTTTCAGGATACCTAAGGGAACAGTCCAGACAGAAAGTCGATGGGCTTCAGGATGAGAAAATGTGAATTAGTTTGCATTCAGTAGAACATAGATTTTAAATACATGAATTCAGACAAATGAACACCAGTTTCTTCTGTCATTTCTATACCACTAACTAGTTTTAGGTACACTTTTTAGTTAACTTTTGGTTAGCTTTTTCTGATGCTCTGTTTGGGGAATTGCATACCTGGACTACAAATGTGTTTTGACTATACCCTAAACACGGGGTGCATATCATTTAGAACTAACACAAAACTGGCTCCTGGGTCAGTAGTCTGTATTCTAGACTCATGTTCTTTCTTACACAGCCCTGGCTCAGCCCTGGATAGCCCTGTGTCCCTTGGCCGTACACATCTTCCTCTGGGCTCCCAGGCTAGCCCTCTGACAAGAGCCTTTGCTCCAGGGGTTTGGTCGTGTGGTCTACAGTGTCACTGCCCTGCACACTGCTTTCAGGGGACCACTGGAAGAGATGAGCCTCGGGTCCAGTGACCAAGCTGCCTACACTTTCCCTGCAGCCACGGTTGGGCACAGTCTACCTGGCATGCTGTGCTATGAGGACAGGAATGTCATGTTTCCATTGACCATGCAGCAGAGAGTGCTAAGGAAGAAAGCATGGCTTTCATTTATTTATAGCAAAAGCAAGAAAATGCAAACATTATTTTCAGGGTGGAATCCCATCAGCAACTCAGATTTTCTCAGTCGATACCTTACTTTCTGAGCTCTTTACTATTTCTGTGTTTTTAAACATTAACTGTTTCATTGCATGCAAAGGTTTCTCTTGGCCACTGCTTCCTTGTCCTCAAGGTCAGCTGACTGTTACCTAGAGCAGTGCCCACTCCCTGCAAGCGTAGTTGGCTCTCCATCCTGTGTGGCTGCCATGCGCTGTTTCCCTTCTGACTTCCTGGTCTGTCACAGAGGGCTTCCCTTGTCCAGTTTGACACAACTTGGCCACACTAGGCTTTTTTTTTTACGTTTTTTTTTTTTTTTTTTTTCCACACTAGGTTTTTATTCATCTGATGTTAAAAGACCTCAAATTATCATATGAAACAGCAATTTTGACTTACTCCAAAATCTTGCTTTCAGCCATAAAAGCCAGCCTTAACCCCCAGCCTCCATTCCTCAGAAGCGTGCTCCTAAGGAGGAAGGGCTGGCCCTCTGGCTTCACGTGCATGGGCGCTGCTCAGGTGAGGGGAGAAAACTAGAGGCTTCACAGCCCTCGGCACCTGCACGACTTTGTCAGTCCTGGGTCCTGGGCCAGAGGAGTAAACGTCCCTATCCTCCAACAGAGATGGCAGCCAGGTTTCCCTACACTTAGGCATAAGGGAAATGTTCCTGCCTTCTGAGTGCCATGGGCCCCAGATCACCATGGGCTCTTTTTTCAGTCTCCAGGGGAGGAAGAGGACAGTAGTCTCACAAGATGTAAGCACCAGGCTCTTCTCATGTGCCTCTGGCCACTAGGATCTACCTGAACGGTCCACATCCATTTAGTGTTGATATACCACATAGGTGCTTAGGTTTAACTCTCCTCCATGTCAGGGCCTGTCCTTTCAACAGTCAGTGGTCGCTCTAGGACCACCCTGATGTAGGTGACCTCATCTTACCTAACACATCTACGAAGACCCTGTCTCCAGTGAAACCATAGACACAAGGACCAGAGCAGAACTTACAGGGCAGGGGGCAGTGTTTTGGAACTTGGGGCTCTCTCTGACAGAAACACACACTCACATCCTTCACTGTGGCTGCCTGGGGTGCTTCCTTGGGTGAGTTGGAGCAGGGGTTTTTTACCTGAGAAATTTAACCTAGTTTATAAAATAGGTATACAGATCAAACATTTACTTGTAGTACATCATGAAGAATTTTATTTTAAAATAATTCTTTGATATACATAATAATCTTGTCATTTACTAAAGATGAAAGCAAACTTGTATACTAATAAGCTGAATAGGCTTATTTGAAGAGTGTTCACAAATACATATATTTCCATGCGTGTGGAGGCCAGAGGACAACCTTGGACATTGTCCCTAAGATACTGTCCACCTCGGTTTTATGGCAAGGTCTCTCACCAACTAGGCTAGGTTGACTGGCCAGCAAGCCCAATGGGTTTACCATATGCCTGGCTTTTTTGTTAAGTTGTAGGGAATTTCATTCAGATCTCCAGATCCTAATGCTTGCATAGCAGACACTTTCCCAACTGAACTCTGGCCCACCACTGTTTGTCTTGGTGGAATATTGATACTGCAAAATACGGAGCATCTTCAACATTTTTCAAATTAGTTGATATTTTTGATTTTTCAGTTATCAATTCTGAGAATACTATTTACCAAACACACACGAAGGGGAAAAAAAAAACATGTAAAATGGAAGTAATATGCTTAGGGCCATTTCAAAAATTTTTGGGAAATTATGTGCTAATCCCAAACCAAAGTTCTTCTGATGATTTTTTTAGTGAAATTCAAGTGAACAACTCAAATACCATGTTTAAAAATCAACATTCTAACACAATATAATTGAAAGATACACTGATTTCATATTTATGGTTCCTCATGAGAGAACAATATTCTTTGAGCAGAAAACAGTGCGATTCCGTCTCAAGTCTGAGCTGGGGTATTTCCGGCGGCATTCATCAGTGTTGTGTGTAGTGGCAGGGTACAAAATGTACGTCCTATGTGTAACTCGGCTAGTAAGTGTTAACTGTCAACTTAGCACAACCCAGAATCACCCAGAAAGTGAGTCTGGTTCAGGTTGGCCTGTGGACATGTCTGCAGAGGGACCCTGAATGTGGGCGGCACCATTTCATGGACTGGCCCTTGAACTGTGGGAGTGAAGAGAGTTGGCTGAGGGAGGAGGCACGGGCAAGCAGGCAGCATGGTGCACTCGTTTCTGCGCCTTTTACTGGATGGCACGTGACTGGCTACTTCACCTTCTGCCACTGTGACTTCCTCAGTCATGGACTGACCTGAATTGTAAGCCAAACAAGCCCTCGCTCCCTTACGTTGCTGGTCAGGGTGTTTTTATCTTAGCCACAGAAAGAAACTAGAACAGAAATTGTTACTAGAGAAGTGGGTTTGTTGTTGCCATGAACTTGACCATGTGCCTTGGACTCTTTTATTGGAGGATTGTGGAGGATTTCAGAACTTTGGGCCAGAAAAGCTTTTGAGTGCTTAGAGCTTAATGGGCCTTTCTGGTAGGAGTTGGAAGATAAAATTGCTAAGAATAATGCAGACAGTGGAGAAATGTTTCAGAGGGGAACCAGATTTTTTGTCCTTGACTCAATTGAGGCTATTTGTGGATATTTTTGCTAAGAATGTATGTGCCTGGGGCTGAGAAATGGCCGTCATTGTCCAAGAGGTCCGTACCACTGAAGTGAAGCCTTCCCTGCCTTCCTGGGACAATAGGAACATGTTTCCTCAAAGTCAGCACACAGGAGCTGCCAAGGGGCCCGGCTGCATCTTGAACTTCCAACAGAACTTGGCAATATCTGAGCATCGTCCACATGGTGCTGGTTTTGAAAGCATGAAAGGTGCAAGATTGAGAGAGCCATAGAGAGTGGCTGAAGCTTGGTGCCGTGTGGTGGGGTCACAGTACCTGTGAAGGGAGAAAGACTCAGAAATAAGCAGACTTCCCCTTCTTCCCCACCACATCTGTTCCCCCTGAGTGGTGAGAGAGACCCCGCCCTTGTCGCCCCCGTCCCTGACTGACTTCACAGAGCTTTGGATGGCTTACTGCCTGCTAGAGCGCTGTGGGCAGGGAACGCCCGTGCTCTAGCACAGTGCTGGTGGTGCCATTCTCTGTCCAGAACCACAGAGTAGTCCTCATTGCCTAGAAAGCAAATGAGAGGTGGGGTGGCCACGAAAGGTACAGCAGAGACACAGAGTTGATAAAAAGCTGCAACTCTGTCTTCGCTACCTTGTAATCCTGTGTATGTTTCTAGAGGCGTGGAGAAGCCAAAGATTCTTCTTGACAATCTAGGGAGTCAAGTGGGCTTGGAGGATATGGGCTGCCCCATCACTAGTAACATAGATAGGTAACTAGGTTAACTAAACTGTCCAGGCCTTATCACTAGTAAACTGCTCTAGTAGTTATTGTTCTGTACAGTCCAGAGAATGATCTTTGATAGCCATACTTCTGGTTTTGAATGGGTGGATTTATTACATACACAGCAGTGAAAGAAGAAAAATAAATGTCTTGTAGCAAATAGAGAGCAATGATAGATAACCATCTAGCAGAGGAGACTGGAGTAACCTAGTTGGGGGAGCAAACAAAAGGTAACCTCACTAAAGCAGGGGCTTACAGAAATCAACTGGGGAGCCCCAGAGGCAGCCAGGCAGAGGTCCTGGTCCTGAGTCATCAAACCAGGCAATTCCCATCATCCATCAGCAATGAGCAGGTCAGCTGAAGCAGTCAGCTAGAGTTCTTGATTGTGCCTCTCTCTGTGGGAGAGCTTCCCATGGCTGAGCTTCCAGTTTCCCAGGCCCACAGTAGGCACTTTCATACCATAGGATAAATGATGATAACGCCTGTTAGAAATGGTTCGCCTCTAGCTGTTCTCAAAGACATGGTGTTTTAACTCTTGAACTGTTCTCTTCCCTCCGTGTTACAGATTGAAGTGGGCTAGCTCTTCTGTAGCTGGGAAATCTTGGAGGACACTTGGAGACAGACATGCTTAGGTCTGAGCCAGCTTCTCAGT